TGTCCCCCTATATATTTACTATATGACTCTTATCGTGCAACATTTTGTCCCATCCAGGTTCAAGAGGTGAAACATTTTGTCACATCTAGATTCAAGAGACAACCCCCATGACGTTGATATTTTATTATACATACACTTGGTTATCATCTTCAAGCCTGCGTAACTTCTCAACATCATTTGTAACAAGCCTAACTCTCACCTATCTTGAGGAGAAAATATTCCATAAGGAGTCCTGATATAATTTCATATGAGGATGATAATATCAAAATAACACCACAATGTTACCAATAATACCTCCAATAACACCATCTACATCTAATCCGAATGTAGATCATCCGGATGTAATAATTTTTCGATCTTGAGAGCGTTCGCACATGAGCACACTTAAATTTTGAGTTATGCCTTGATGTTTAAGAGTTGACCTTCGTTCTCTGTAAGGGTTTCACAATTCACACATCACAGAAAATGAAGCTCACAAGGGACAGATGAAACTATAATACTTCAGAAGATTAGGACTGCTAAGACATAAATGCTGGCAATGTTTATGGAAGCAGAAGTATGAACTGAAAATCTCAAATCAGTAATTAAAAAATTTCTAGGGGCAGTTACAAACATAGCACCCGAAAGATTGATATTTACAAATCTAGCACTCTCTTTCATCCATTTTTCAAATTCTCACTCAAATATCAAAATTCATGATAAAAACCCAACCCATATTTTTCATCTTTATCACATTCTCAATGGTTTGATCGTGACACGCATAAATACATCGATTTGGTAATTCAAAATTATCACATGGGTGCTAGATTTTAAAAATAACAATGTTTCGGTGCTGTGTATGTGATAATCCCAAATTTCCATCTCATGCATATGAAAAGTGATATACATGTAAAAATTTAAGTTAAAAGTGTTAGATATGTAAATAAATGAGAATTAAGAGTTATGTATGCAAATCTTTCTATAAAAATTTAAAAAGTAGAGCCCCTTCAGTCTTGTAAATGCTGCAAACATTACAAACCGAACTACTGCAGCAGAAATTTCTCATGCAACCCCAGCATTGTACAACAGCATCATATAATAGTTATACAGGTCAGTACAAGGAATATAACCAGGAGATTATTATAGAGAAAAAAACAAACTTCTGAGATTATAGCCATAAAAGAAATCATGAAAAAAAGGGAGTTTTTACTGAACAATCACTTATACTGACCTGTATAAGTTTGGGTGGTCAATCCATTATATTTAAATTCTGGTGGGCTGTATGTAAAAATAAAAAAATAAAAAAAATGCCATTTCTAGAGAGGCATACCAGTACAAATAAAAAATAAAATGGCAACATGAGACTGTATAAATTAAAAAGAAAAAAAAAGGTTCCACTAAGAGAATAGGTCAATCAATCATAAGGAGAGGAATGAAAAAAGAAAGAGAGACTAAAAATTGGAGAGTTCAATATTGCTATTGGTGTTAAGATAAACCTTTCCTAGAAGATACAGAAAATAACCTGAATACGAAATCCATCCTCTGTCAAAATGGCGATTTCCGGGCCTATAAATGTACAAATAATCTCTTCCAGCAGCTAAGTTTCGTTCCTACGGCGAAAATCTCGAAACAAGGTTCGTATTTTCTAAAGTAGAGATGATGCATATATGTTCCTTTTGCAGCTTATTTACCTTTTACTTTTTGTAATTCTCTCTTTTCTGTAGGATTTACCAGTAAGAATCAAAGGCTGTAGCAGAGGAGTCATTGGTCATTCTTCCTCATTGGCCAACGAGGAGAATGAAAATGGCTTAAATTTATAGCCATCACCATGGTAGAACTTGTTCATAAATTCAACCCAGTGAAGACGAAGAGCATGGAGGAACGCGCTCAATGTTTCCATCATGAGCAATATGAATGCTGTTGCAAATGCGAAGACAGCAAGTCCGACGAGACGAATTACGATGCTGTTGTACCTGTTAAAATAGATTAGTGAATCCCAGGCTTTTACAGAGAAGAAATCAAAGCAACAATCGTGTAACCATAGTGAAAAGCAATTCCGAATCTGATAATTGAATGATTATAGAAGGATGTAGAATTTGAATAACTGAAGAATTTCAATGTTATAAATCTGATAGTCTAGTTGATTTTGATTAAAGAGTACTGACATGACAGTTTAGTAGGAATTTGTTATGCCATTTTGGCCAAACGCTAAAGCATTAAATTTTAATTCCATGTTTCTAGCTCAGATACCAGCTATGATACATAAGCACTCCTAATTAAGAAGTAGAGCAATGTCGGATATGTATCGGATACATACATGGCTCCGACACATGTCGGACACGGTATAGAAGTGTCCAATTTAAAAAATATTAAAAAAAACAAGTGTGTTCTAAAGTAATGAATTAAAAAATTCTAAAAATATATTTTTAAGATAAAAAATTTAAAGACATTTTTTTAATTAAGAGTTAAATTAATCTTGATGTAATATAAGATATTTAGTGCTTAATTTTTTATATTATAAACTAAATAACGTCTATGGATTTCTTAGCTTTTGAAAGTTAATATTATTTTATTTCTTGTTCTCTTCTTTACTGTTCTTAATGTTCTGTTTATTTAAACTTTATTTATGTTTTATAATTTATATCAGGAAGGTTTACATATACACTTCTCAATGCATTAGTATTTATATATCTATAAGTTAATCTTTGATTTTTATACATATCCCACTTTATCTATGCATGAAAATATATATTTCACTTTTAGAAGTTAAAATAGTGGTATTTTAGATGTGATATGAAAGATTTGG